CACTATATTAGGCATTACCAGTTCGGTTCACTACTACTTTGTTTAATGATATCTACATAAAAAAATTCATGCAGTTATGTTTGTTACTTATGCTTTTCTTATATTTTCTATTGCAATGAAATTTTTTGCTTTGTTTTGTAACGCACTTTCGGAGAGAGTACACTTCAGAACCGTACAACAGATGGCGCGCGCTTCGTGTTGGACATTTTGAAAAGTAATTTATCTACAACAGATACAACCGATGAGTAGGTAATATGTAGGCAGGGGTGTATTTACCCTACTACGGTAGAACCTATGGCCCAGGGCGCCAGAATTTGAGGGGCGGCGCAAACCTTTTCGAATCTATTAATTTGCTTGATTAATTATGATTATGTTTTTGAGGATTATATAATCTTATTTTAATAAATAAGAAAAATATGTGAATATCTTTCATTTTTCTATATATCTATATATCTCTGGCTCAGGATATCAAACGAAATATGTTACTATGTATAGGAATAGATATATATGTATATAATCAACATCTGTGTGTCAATTTACATCTGAGCAAAGCCAGGACAGGTTATAAATATAAAACAGCTTCAACCCGTAAAACTCAATTTACAACGTTGAATGTAAAGTTTCATTCATGAGTGACAGTTGTGAAAACCATGAGAATATTTTTTTTATAGTATTCAGTGACAAACGAGCAGACAGTCCATCTGATGGAAAGATGTACCTGTCGCCCATAACACCTACGGTTCATGCATTTAGGTTTTATTTTACAAAAATGTAGAACCGCTGGTGCGTTGTCACTGTGAGGACTAAGATGATATGCCTCTTGCCTGTAATTGCGCTGGCTACCTTATCCTTCAAACCGGAACACAACAATGTAATCATTGTTGCTTTGCGGCAGAAATAGATAAGGGGGTGGTACCCATCCAGTCGGACTCCTCAGGCTTGACAGAGTCTTACCACCGGTGCTATTACATGTCCAGTTCGTTTAGTTTTAAATCAAAATAAAAAAACTAACAGATATGAGATAACGCGGCTACCTACCGTATTTTTGTAAGTTTTGATAAAATGAGTGACGTCATGATAGCGTACGGCATATAGGTATTCGCGTATGGTTCGATACGTGAATATTTTTCAGTAGTATTTATTATACGTATTATGTATGTTCATGGCGAGCCTTACGTAATCTAGATAAGAATGATGTATTGATATGTATATTTTACACAGAAATCGTAATATTGGCACTTTACATTACTTTTATTATATCTGAAAATGTAGGTACATATATGACGAGTTTTCTAGTACAAACGACAGGTTTGTACATATTGTTTTTTTTGGCGGTTCCCGTGCAGGTTGTGTGCCAATTAGTAGAAAAACTTGCTTGCAGCTTTAGTATTTATAACATAAAACTTGAATTCGAGCTTTCCAATATCAAGAGCAAGACATTTGAATAAACCTTGTAGAAAAAACTATTTATAATTATTTTATAATACCTACACATAATAATCCTTATTTTCTTTGATTGTTTAAGTCGTTACATGGGCTCTGGAAGTAGCGATTATACGTAAGTGGGAGGTATTTTCGCAAATGCGTGTATTGATTGATGTTATGTAGTTTAAAACTGGTCATGCGTATTTTCGGAAGTTTGAACTAAAAAGTCGGTCACGTGTGAAAAGTTGTGTTACATCGTTGGAATTTTTACAGGAAATAGCTCATTCAAAAAGTAAAATAACAGACAGCTACGCCCTAAAATAAGTATTTACTATTTAGTATATATATATTTTTTTATTTTATGGAGAGCGTTCACACTATGAAATAAGTATTAGATTTATGTAAACAGAAAAATATGAATTTCAGCTCTTGTATAATATACAATAGAAAAATCATGACGACTATATAATACCTGGTATCTATCTACTGTACATAAAGACTATTAAATAAACATTTTACGACCACCAGCGGCATAGTACTATTAAAAAACTCAAATGTAGCAGAAAAAACATGTTAATTTTTAACAAACGAAAACCAAATCAATATAAATCCGCAATACTTCATTTAGCGTAACAAATATTTTTAATTGATAACTTTCATTATATTTATTTAGCAAGCGGCAAGTTTCAACACAAAACTTGTTCTATATCTAAGTTTTGATAATTATTTGTGTCAATGCCAATTTGGCATTTGGTATTTTTCTACATAGAAACACATTAACATTAGTTGAAAGCTTTTACTTTCAATCAACACCTTCAGAAGTAATCACGGTCATGGTTTTGCACGTGTATTACATATATTTATAGTTTGTTCACGTCATTTAAAAGTAAATTTAAGCTTTTTGATTAATTTGTATTTAAAAGACATTTTACATCCAAAGCAGTTTGTACAATTATTAGTGAGGCATGTTAATATTTGTGTAATGTACACTTAAGAGAAATATAATAAGAAATATTGTCAACAATATACATTTTCAAAGTATCGGATTAGCACGAAATAGCAACTCTACACTGTCCCATCACGTTATCTATGCATGAATAGGTCGGCTATGAGTAGGGGAAGCAGCTCCCCTCTCATAGAATATTGACGTAAAATCGCAGTGGCCGTACTGTCGGTGGGAGAGAACGCCTGAGGCACCTTCAGGTGACAACACACTAATGACGCCCTTAATATCCTTAAATAAGGCCGGCCGTAGACCTACTGGTTATACAGCTATCTCTCTCTCTCTCTCTCTCACGATAACACAGCATCCACAATATAACACCGCACCAGTAATTTTTTTTTTCAAAAAATATTACTGAATAAATAATTTGTAACTATGTTATATTGTATAATAAAAATAACCAGTTGAGAAAAATACAAATCACTAAATATTATAAATTAAAGGTTTCTGCCCGCTGAATTTGTGTTTGACTGTTTGTTCGGCCTAATCTCTGAAACTACTGTACGGATTTTCATACGGTTTTCACAAATAGAAAGAGGGATTATCTAGTAAGGTTATCTTATAAATATTACATAAGCAACGAGTGTTCTTAAATTTACGTGAATATTTGACATTTTAAATAAAACTATCTTTTCGGATTTTTTCGCGATCATGGTCAGTCTCTCCCGTGACCATGATTGCTGTAAAGCATTTGAAACGTCGCGTCGGGAACCAAAAATCATAATAAATTCGCGAAAAAATCCAAAAAGATAGTTTTATTTATCTATATAGCTACATTTCTGAAAAAAGAAATTATATCTTTTCCGAAAAAGGTCGAGCGCAGTTCGGTCACTTACAAAAAATGAAAAATCATCCCTTCTGAGAACTTCCGTAATATCATAAATGCGAAGGTCATTTAGGGACGTATGATCTGGTCCTCCTGACCGATTTCGGTTGCGGCGGCCAATTTCACAAGTTTAGCCAACTGTGCAGGACATATTATAGTATGTATACAAAAACATTTGCAGATACAAGTGTACTCTATTCCATTTACTCTGAAAATCCAAACGGACGATAAATTGATACTCGCGGTGAGAAACCAAGCACACAAACGTGCTTAGACACGTGACATGGCACCTTCCCGACTCCGTTCTGTTACTGGGACTTTCTTAACAGAAAGACTCAGTAACTAAGTTTGGCCCGAACTGGGACTCGAATCCAGGACTCAGGATGTGCATATACCAGCCACTAAACCGCCGATAGTATATAGTATATTAGTATATAGTATATTAGTATATAGTATATTAGTATATTAGTATATATTAGTATATAGTATGTAGTATATTTTGAATTTGGGCTTACAGTTAAATCAAATATTATCCAATCAATAATATAGTTAATCGAGTTAAGAGTTTATTTATCAACTAATGTACGGGAGCCAATTCAAATAAAGGACGCAATAAATTATACTGACGTGAACTAAACGTTTTGCATAGGTTGTATTAAACGGGCAATTAAGTACATATGGTCTTTGGTCATGTGACGTTTTCAAATGCCAAACGATGACGTACATGTCAAAATAGTTCTAATCATTTATAATCCGAAATTTTTGAAACCATTAACAGGAGAATTAAATTATAATTAGATAGTAGTAGTATTTAGCATTACCTAGACCCATAAAAAGGGATTGATTTTAACCATCACCTTAAAAAAATTACCATAAGTTCTTTAGTGAGGGATAAAATACACAACGAATCTGTTATAATATGCAGCCGCTTTTATAAACTACTTTTACAGACGAATAAACATATTTGGTCCAATCGATAGACCAACCAAAATTGCATTATGTCACGTAGTTCAAATGTCATTCCCATATTTATCGACAGCATTAAAAAAAAACAATTCACTAAAAAAAAAATTACACGATATCTTCGTCTATTTTGAATCTATTTTTATTATTCTAAAGCTAATGGTAAAAAAATTCTTAATGAAACAAATGTAACAGCAACACTATAAAAATAATTTGACGGTATAGTTTAACTATTCAAATAAGACAGTCCAAAATGTTTTTATACAATGATGCTATAGATAATATAAGGAAAAATCGCCTCACTGAGCCGCTGCTGTCACAACACGAGATAATCATTAAAGTTTGATTAAATCTTGAAGATTGGTCCGGTGACACGGGGAAATCGTCAAAGACATTTAATCCAATTTTAGAATAAGATATTTCTACAATGTCACATAGCCCTCTATTCTAACTTGTTCCGAGGGTCGAATCAAAATATACTTTATTCAATTAGACTTTTACAAGCACTCTTAAATCGTCGACCAGTCGCAGATGTAGTGTTTTTAAGGGGGTCAAAGCGGACCTGGTTTGTGCAATAGCCGAGGGGTATTTATGTGTAATGTCGTAAGTATATATAGATATGCAAGTTTTGTGACATATAAAACTAAATAGTGTAAAAAATAGCTATACTTTAATACTGTTATCGTCAAAATTTAATTAGGACAACATTCAATTCTTAAATCTATTAATTAATGTAACACTAAAAGTCAATGAATGAAGATCAATATAAAACATAAAACATACCTGAAGTGCCTTTAGCATGGGCACTTTGTCCAATAGTTCCTCATACAGCTTGCGCTTCTTGAAGGCGCTCTTCAGGAGAATGCGGCGGAAAGTGTGACGGTCCATGGCCCATAGAGCGCCGGGAGACTGGGCGCGTACTGATGCCGCGCGGGGCATGTTGTACATGAGGGCCAGCTCGCCGAAGGACCCTGAGCCCTCGTAGGTGTGGACCACCTGTGTTGAATGCTTATATATAAATATATGTTGGGACATTAACACACAGCACCATCTAGTTCCATAGTAAGCTACAAGGCTTGTGGTATGGACACCAGATAGTTGATACACTACACATATATGTAGACATCTATACATATAATAAAATTGTAACTAAGTCGAATCTGTACATTAAATATTTTTTGGAAAATCTAATTGAAATAGACATTATTATCGATACAGAGTCCGAATTTATAGTTTTTAGAATTTTTCTGTCTGTCTGTCTGTCTGTTACCGCATCACGAGAAAACCACTGGACAGATTTTGATGAAATTTGGTATGATGATAGCTAGTTAACCGGGTCAACATATAGGATACTTTTTACCGCGGGAAAATATCTCATTTCTGAGAAAAAATACAAAAACTGAATTGTAAGAGTATACTAATATGTAAAACATAAGAATTTGGTTGTTAGTCATCTGAACGCGGGCGGAGCCGCGGGCAATGCTAGTATTATATATTATAATCTCTTATACCTATAATAATAACGACCTCGAGCGATTTCGGTCACGGCGGTCAATCCCAAACATAATAAAAGAAAAGAGGGAGGATCTCAAAGGAATCGAGTATACTTGTGCGCACAACAAAATATGTGCCGATAGGGACGACAATTAAACACGACCGGTAAGAGATCAGTGGACCATTCAGGACGTCACATGTGTTCTCAGAGGTACGATGGAATACTTTTAAACTCCAGGCTCTAAAAATTTTTTTTTATTTATGTCACATTACACCTGCGTGAATTCAGAGCGCATTCCTAGTTAAAAAAAAACAATCAAATCAATCGCTCTATCATCTCGCTCGCAAAGCTAGTAGCTAAAAGTACTAAGTGAGACTATTCTAAAAATATAACCGTAAAATGAAAAATATCCTAAATGCATATAACGTTTTTATATAAATTCCTAATTGCACATTAATCGAGGCAAGACCTGGCGCAGCCAAATCAAATATTTTTTCGAGTTAGAATGAAACTTTTAATACGGACGAGGATTCTGACCACTACGCTAAGACGCTATCGCGAGTCATTATAATAATTACTTGTAAATACTTGCCACTAAGCCTACAAACCACTTTTTGTGCTTATACTACCTTTTTTTACAAACCTTCATATTGTTACGTATTATTTTTGTTATCTTTCATTTGTGGACAGAAATCTTTTATTGATTTAAGTAATTAATAATAATAAATGTGTTAGGACATTAACACACAGCACCATCTAGTTCCATGGTAAGGTACGAGGCTTGTGTTATGGATACTAGATAGTTGATATACATATATAACTTTTAAATACACATATTATAAATATAAACACCTATGCCTGGAGTACTAACATTCGAGCGCATCACACAAATGAATTCCCCCTAGCGGACTCGAACCCGCGACCGCTGGCACAGCAAGTAGGGCGACTACAAACTGAGCCAAGCGTATCCTCAAATTAATAAAAATTATCATACGTAAAGAAAACACTACATATTGTAAATAAAGTCGAATTTGTCTTTGTTCGAGCTAATTTTAATAAACTACTGTTCGGTTTTTCAAATGATTTCCATCAAAAGAAAGAAAGATTTATCTAGGTAGGCATGGAAAGATTTTGCATCAACAATCTACCGGTATGATATTTGTGAAATTAAGTCGGAAAATAATTGGACCCAGTTATGCAAAAAACAGTCATTTGCGTAAAAGTACCAACAGAGTTATAAGCATTTTATTATAAAAAATAAAATAATTATAAAAAATAAACAATACATATATAAATATTGTTCAATTTTAAAATAACCAGTAAACAAAAAAAAAAAAAAAACAAAACATAACTCAAGTGCAACTATCGACAAAAAATGCTTATAACTCTGTTGATACTTTTACACACATGGCTGTTTTTTGCATAACTGGCTCCAATTCTTATAGGGACGGGCTCGAGTAAAGCAAGGTTGATACCCTAGTCCGAAGCGAATATCGTACGGCCACGCCTTTCATAAGAATTTACAACGTTAGAACTTAGAAGGATAGGCAGATTATCAACTCAAATTCAATTCTAATCATTATCAACGATTATAGTCATATATTGACTAACATAATATACTTATCTGTTACGTATATACTACCACTTGAATTATCATAAATACGTATTGGAAGATTTTTAATCAAAGGAAAATATTTGATACAGCGCGGCGTTTGAAGTTTTTTTCGTTGGTTTCAAAACAACATTAAATATTTTTAATTGAACTCGATATTGTGAAAGTGTAACAAATTCTTACTAATGTGTGCTGTTATTAAAATGTGGTGATTATCGATGTCAATACTCGAGATTTCCCGAGACGTTGATAAAAAATGTAAAAGCTATAAATGAAAAAGGTCTTTTAAATAACTAATCCAATGTAAAATATCTATATAAAAAAAATAGTTAAAAAAATAACTTAAAATCATGATTATTAGTAAACGAGGCCACTGTTATTATTTTGTTTCAACTAATCACAGACGAGAGGACACTTCAATTTTTATAAGTGTACTTATAAAAAAAAACTGAAGCGTCATCTCCGTGATTTTAAAATAATGATTGAGCTCATGCGGTTCAATAAATAATAATACTAGCAAAACAACCTTTAAAAAATGTTTCGATATTTATTCTTCTTTCTTCTTCGCTCGTTATTTATTCGAAAAGTTTAAATCGATTTTATTGGAGTTCTACTAGTGGATATTGTACACTGAATATTTTTCTATTAGCTAGACCCAGAGGACAATCTGTTTCAATAAAAGTTTTTTGTGCATATAATCGTCATTTAATTTTATAGGTTGACGTAATATAAAGCTTACTTTTACTTTTTTTTAACCATATATTGAAGCTGTAGTTTTGGTTAACCGGCTTCTCTAAGACTTTTTTTGGGAAAATTGGTATCTAAAGATTAGTTGGAGCTTTCTTGCGTGATATGTACCATACAAAGTAGCGGGCGACGCCATAAACCGGCAGTAACTAGCAATCAATATAATAGAAGGCATAATAGCATTTATGATGATAATTAAATTTAAAATTATAATTTTCAATTTACCTATTAGCGGTTCAAATTTTATTCAACAGATGCATGTTTATATGAATTATTTATTTAGCTATGGTCGAGCTGTAAACTCTAAATCTTTTGAGATGTAAATATTATCTATATATTTTACATCTATACATATAATAAAATTATAACTAAGCCGAATCTGTACATTAAATATTTTTTGGAAAATCTTATTGAAATAAACATTATTATCGATATAGAGGCCGAATCTATAGTTTTTAGAAATTTTGTCTCTCTGTGTCAGTCTGTGGCCGCATCACAAATGATGATAGCTAGCTATCCGGTTCAACATATAGAATACTTTTTACTGCGGGAAAATATCTCATCTCAGATATATCTATACTAAACGTTAAAACGTAATTCTAGGGATGAACCCGAGCAGAGCAAGGGTGAGTCGCTACTTGCTAGTGAACAATAAATGTGTGTTGAAGAAATATAGGAAATATTTTGCTCTCGTACAAAATATCCCGGGGATAGTGTTAGGGGGACAAATCAGAAAAAATCTATATGTAAAATAAATCTTGATCCCCGCTAACTTTTGCCTAATTTAATGTATTCAACCCTTTTTAACGTCCCACTACTGAGCACGGACCTCGTTCAATACGAGGGGGATCAGGCATAGTTCTTGCATGGCACATGTCTTTCGGAAACATGCTAGGTTCTCTCAGACATGCAGGTGTCCTCGCGATGTTTTTCTTCACCGTAAGGAAGAGGTAATCATGTTGGAAATATTTAATAGTAAACTAAATTATAACAAGTGATTATTAGAAGTGCAACTTGAGCTCAAAGTTTTACGCACTCCAGTACATGCTATAATACATAGATCATATTTAGTGGTTACAGATCTAAAAATTATATACACACGGAAATCTACAATAAAAAAATTAACTAGGTGCGGGAATAAACCGCAGTGGCTTTATCAAAGGAGAGGTAGAAACTGTACTACATGTATATATAAGAGCCCGTTTTAAGTGAAGCTCTCGCGACGACCACGGACTATTAAGTCGTCCGACACAATTTCGTAAATGAGAATTGTTACGTCTATTTACGTGTCTATTAAAGTCGGAGATGTTAGCTGCTTGTAAGTTTAGAATCATGACAGGTTTAGAATTGAAAATCTACATTCATATTATCTATACATATAATAAAATTGTAACTAGGCCGAATCTGTACATTAAATATTTTTTGGAAAATATTATTTAAATTAACATTATGATCGATACACAGGCCGAATCTATACTTTTTAGAATTATTGTCTGTTCGTTACCGCATCACAGAAAAACCACTAAAGGGATTTTGATGAAATTTGGTATGGTGATAGCTGGTTATCCGGGTCAACATATAGGATACTTTTTACAGCGGGAAAATATCTCATTTCTGAGAAAAATGCAAAAACTGCAATGTAAGAGTATACTAATCTGTAAAACCTAAGAATTTGGTTTTTGGTCATCTGAACGCGGGCGGAGCCTCGGGCAATGCTAGTAGGGTATAAAGCACTTAAAGAGTTATTTGTATAGTTTGGCACACTTTTAGTTACGCTGTAGTTACTTTATAGGCTGATCGATCAAATAATTCTCGGGGGAAAATATTTTAGTTTTCTTTTACAGTGGCCTGGTTTAAGTTTCAACACTAGTTTTAGTTTAATAAATATCTATATATATATATAATAAAAATGGACGCTGGAAAATGGAAACGGATGGAAAAAACGGATCGCTGCTTGTACATGGAAGATATCTGAGAAAAAATATTATTGGGACGTTTATCAACGCAAATAGCACCCAAAACAATGATTGTTAGAATTTTTTGTCCGTTTGTCTGTGCGTTTATGCACGCTAATGTGAGAAATGGCTTATCTGATTTAGATGAGGTTTTCACTAATATATTGTGGTAAGCGTCACTTAACATTTAGTGTTTGTTTCATGTCAATCGGTTCATAAATGAAAAAGTTATAATTTAAAAAATCACGTCGAACATTTGTTAAACTGAAAAATGAAGGGTTCCCGTGGGGTAGATCTGTTTCTGCTTTTCTAGAAGCGAACCCGAGGGTGAGGGTGAGCCGCTAGTATCTAATATGTTTATATATCTTCAAATAAGTACGTTCTAATATTATCTAGTCACGATGTCAGAGCCTAAACGGCACGTTGTAGCACGCACTTAAATTAATATAAAAATGGTATAATTTTAGTAAATAAAATTATTTACATAGTCTCTAGACCGTTTTCGTTTATAATATTTACAATGGAGAAGTTTCATGATGTTAATATCATATTTAACGTATTCGAATTATATTATAGATCAAAACAAAGAAAGAAGTGATTTTTTTTGAAATCTATCAATAAATGACTGAGAAGTTAATTAAAATTTCGGTCGTTCAGGTCATGAAATTCTTTTTACATGCTCAACTTTAAAGTTTCAAAAAAAATTCGTTTGTTGAGATATTTTAATGTCTTCTATAGGTATTTTTGTTATATTTTACTTAAATTTTTATAATTTATATATAAATCAATATTGGAAATTCCATTCTTAATCCCTTCACGACCGCGGACACGCTGGCGTTACAGTTAACAATAGATTTCTTAGAAATTTAATTAATTTTTTAGAAATATACCTGGAGGTGATATTTAGATAATTTATTATTTTCTATGTAAATAAAAATCATCCAAACTCTAAACGTATAATATATTACGAATTTATAAACGTTAGAGTTTTAAAACTTTATAAGCAGTAACATTATTATATTATATATACCTTTTCGACACCATCGTCCCCCGTGACGAGTACATCGAACACTCCATTCTCGATGACGTAGAAGTTGTCACCGTCGTCGCCCTGCCGGATCACGTATTCGCCGGGCTCGGAGCGCTTCTCGAACATTGCGTCTAGTACCTGTGTAAAATACATATGGGTTAATATAATTTTGTTAGTTTATATCACAGTTATATAATATCTAGAGGCTCACCCTCGCTTCACTCGGATTCATCCCTAAGTACGTTTTAACGGTTAGTGTTGAATATACTGTATATTAGTATATACATATGTACTCGTATATGTACATAGTTATGATAAGTTGTTGTGGGTTGTATTATTACGTGTTTTCCCGTGGGAATGAGAAATTTTCGCGGTAAAAAGTAGCCTATGTCACTCTCCAGCCCTCCAATTATGTCCAATCTGTCACTCTGTTTCGACGTCAAAGAAGGACAAACAAACAAACACACTTTCACAATTATAATATTAAGTATGGATAATAATCAGTCCCTATAACGTCCTTTTTAAATCGAGGGCATTTATTGAATGCCAGATGGACTAGGCTTGTATCATGCTAGCAACGAATATTTGCCAAGTCCTATTAGATATGCAGATTTCACGATGTTTCGTTCACTATCAGTAATATAATATAATAGCCTAAGAAAATTTCGGTGTGAGATCTGGGACTTGACCCGGCTACATACTTCCAAAGCCAGCGTGCCATCAACGCTATTTGTAATATACATATATACATAATGCAAATATCAAAAAAGTAACAGCAAGCAGATATCGTGGCTATTTTTAAATACATTTAGTTCGAATGTGCGAAAAAGATAACGATTGCTTTTATTTAAAAAGCTACTTTAAAAATAATCACCATATTGTAAGAGAGACTTTAAACGAAGTGTGTGTAAATAATTAAAAAATAATATTTATGTTAAGTAAAACTCCTATAATCGGACATGAACTGATGAAATTCTATTAAAGAATATAATGTTACACATTCTGGAAAGAAGTTGGTAACATAAGAATTTAAAATGTGTTAATTGATTTGTGCTGTAAAAGAAAAGCAGGCCTTGGTGACATCATTCATTCGTTAAACAGGCCAAGTTTGCTCTAGGGACGTCCTCATACACCGCCGCATGCTTTATGCATTGAAAAATTGTACATTCACGATTAGCTAGTTTTCCTCTTTTAAACGACCAACGAAAATTTTCATTTCAAGTATATCATAAGGAGTAAGTAGTTGAAAAAGAAAATTGAAAATAGAAATATATGTAACTTGGACACTTCATGTAATTACTCTCAACTATTTGACCTTGAGATATTTCTTTTCATTGCAAGAATTATTATCTATATAAATAGCCAAGTTCTTACATTGAACACCTGTTTACAGTACATTTTGTTCAATAAAATAGTAGACGTAAAAAGCTTTAATTCTAGTAAATGGTCGACGCAGTTGCCAAAAATTCGCAATTGCATAATAAAATTGCACTAACCTGCTGCATTTGTTGTGCATCCAGGGAGCGGAACAGGAGGATCCCTCGGACGGCTTCAGCCAGACGAGCTCGTTGGGCATCCGACTTGGGGAACACAGCTGGGGCACCCTCGTCGGAGTCATCTTCCTCAGGGTCGTAGGTCTCAGCGAACACAGACTTGCGCCGGTTGTTAAAGCGCGCCACCGGCGGCTCTACACAAAATAATTACTACGTCTCAAACCGGAACACCTTTCTAACAATAGACAGACTAATTCTGTTTTAATTGCCACTTTATATGCCAATGGTAACGACCAAAATCGACCTTGACATTGAATAGTAGTAAACATTGGTGTAGAAATAAAAAAATAACGACGATAACGCTATTTTTACATATCAATCTGTATCAATAAATTCTTATAATTACATGGGCAGAAAAATAACAAATAGAAAATTGTTTTGTTTACTTACAATTGAGATATCATTAATATTATGCCATTGCATTAAAATCATTTTATGTTTGGTACCAATCAATCTTATTTTTTTAATTATTATAAAAAGGAAATCTGTATGTATGACTTTAACCTACATATATGATAATAACACAGGATGTGAACTATTAAATGGATATTGTATAAGTACAGCAACCCTGATATCCTGTCTGTAAGTCCTTTATATGTTGATGTGTTAACTTGGGGAGGAAATTGATACTAATGAAAACATAAAGTAATTCATTTTTATATATCGTCATTATAAAAGAATACAGAAATAGATTGTAGTTAATAATATTATGTACTTAAATAAATTATTAATTTGTTGAAATTTTAGTTTTCTGAGAAAAATGTATTATCAGGTCAAAAAACATGAACTACAAAAGTAAATAAAAGTAATAAATATATGCAATTCTATTCCCAATATTAAAATCACTATCTATATATATTTAAGAGTAATCGCATTTATTTGATTTAACAACCCAACAAAAAATGTTTTAGGCAAACAAAATTCAAGGCCTGGTTAACACTTGTATTTTTCATTGTCATGTCATGCGGCTCATCAACACTTGTTTTTAGCTAATTTTACACAACATATCAGAAATGATTTACATCTGGTATAACTTTAGATGTTAAAGTGAGCTATGGATGTGAGAAAAATAAGCCATGCCAGATATCCACATCTTCTTCAAAGAGTTAAAAATAAAACGCAAATGAGATCATGGTATAGTAAACAATGAAAAAATGTATGTCCTAGTAAGACAGTTAAGCCTAAAATTTTATGTGAATTCGTAAACATACGAATATAAATCACAGACAGTTACTTTGGGTAATACATAATTATGGGTGACTGAATGTTTTATTTTGTCGTTCTCGTTGGTTCTTCTCAGCAGTACTGCCTTTCCGAGTTGGTGGTAGATTCCTCACGGACTCACTATATTGACATTTAATTTAAATTTAAAATTAACGATTCGAGAGTGCTTGTAAAAGTCTATTTTAATAAAGTATATTTTGATTTGATTTGAGTGTGTATGTACAATAATTGTTATATTGACATGTTTTGTATTTCACAAGCACTTCTTGGCAGCAACAACAAATTTTATGTGAAATTCAACATAAATTCTTACATATCATTAAACAGAATTGTAATGGCATAGCGCCAGTCACTGGAAGTAATTCTGAACATACTGCTTAATAGAATTTTTCCCTAGTTGCTTATCCTCACTTTATACTAATGTTTATCACAAACATTTTTTATGTACTTTTGCGCATATTCCATGTAGAACTTACAAATAAACCAATAAACCTTGAATTTTTAGAATGAAACCAAAAATGTAAGAATTTACAATCAATAATAATACTTTTAGATTTTATACAATATTCTACATCTAGAATGAAACTAAAATTACATTACAGCTGTTCTTGCAGTAGCCTCTAAAAGCAATGTAATGTATATGGATATTAATGATAAATGAATGATAAGATTTAAATTATATAAGTATTAATAAAAGTATATTGAAGTTTCAATATTAATATTTAGGATTTCATTTTGAAGACTGGCAAAAATAGAAATGGTTGAGGAAATGTTACATAGTTCAAAACATTATATTATATTATTTTTAACTCAATCAATAAATGCTTGAATGTTAGAGCCTATGCATATTATTATGGCCATGTCTATGAATATTCAATGTAACATAGGTGTCACATGTAACTTTCTATAGGCAATCGAAAAATCAATAGTGCAACAGATTGTACAAGAAAATTAAAATTCATATCCAGTAGTGCAGTTTGTGCAAGAAATACACGACTGCCTTCCTAATATTAGATATTCTGTTCATTCATATGGAAATGATATGATGGCACTATGGTAGTCTTAATAACTAACCTTTGACGTTGTACCATTCGAGATGTTATTATTGAGTAAGGAGGAATAGGAGAAAATGTACCTTCTTCGTCTGATATTATAGATTCATCAGGAGTGCCTGCTGAGGGGCCCCGCACTATCGTTGTGGTCCTGTTGTTCTGTAACCTTGTGAAGAATTCAACCGCGTAGTTAATAACGTCTCCCGGCTGTTCCAATAGGTAACTTATGGTGAATTCCAATAAGATTTCTCTAAGGTCATCGGGGACTTGAATCCGACCGCCTTGAGGCCTGCTCATGTCTGACCGCGTCGCTTCGCTTCCTCTTGTACTAAGTCCCTCGGAGAATGTCGAGCGACTCGCGAACTTAAAACTTCGTTATCATAGCCATTGAATTAGCTAAGCGACACACCAACGAGCAAATTTTACGATGAAGAAGTAGCACTACATACAAACGTTAGTAAAAAAACAAAACCACACTATTATACTATTTCTTTTAAATAATTGTCCAGGCTACAATTTATTATGAGTAAGACACACTTTTCTCAAAATATTCTTCGTCCTCCAGCCTGACAATTATAAAATCTCCTTTCACTGAAAAGTAAAAATGGCGAAATCTGGATTGCCCTACTTCTCTATAATACTAATCACTCGCCTAGTTTATATTTTTATTGCCATATTGAAAATTCTGAAACCATAAACTAATAACATAAAAAAAAACAAATATTAAAGATAAAATTTATTATGTACATTCACCTTGGGTAACTTTGAATAGTTATTTTTTATGTTTGGTCAAATATACTATTGTTTGAGCATACTTTACCTTTAGTGATAACTAATATTCTTGAAATTTTCGTAAAATAAGCATTGAAATTTCAAATAAGAAATGAAAAGGAATAATTGCATCGGCCATGTAAAATACAAAACATATGCTTATCTTCTTCTTATGTTATCTTTTCTTAAAAAACATTAAGCACGTTATGGTGTACGAAATCTAAAGTTAATTTTTTTAAGTTCAAAAATCTACTCAAACTTTTTAGTAATAAATAAAAAATGTTAAGTATAAAGTTAGACCGCTTTGCGGGTCCCGAAATTAAGGCAAACCCCAATGGAAAACTCAGCTTTCTACTTAAATTGAAATGTTTCAATGATTGCTTTACAATAGATAAACTATGGTAATGTATGGAATTAAATATAGAGATAAATGAATTTTGTTAATATAAGTTATAATATGTAGGTATTCAAATACTGCATTAGTTATTTCCTTCCTAAAGGAGCAGCTAATGATTGTTATGACGCGGTGGCGATTACATTAATGATTGTCTGACCAGCAGGCAGCAGCATTTACAACAATAAAAAGTGATGGATTCGCTTATGAGTATGCATCGTGCATATCGATAGTATTTAGCCCTTTTTAACGTTCCACTTGTGGGCACGGGCTTCCCTTCAATACGAGAGGGATCAGGCTATAGTCCAACACGCTGGCCTTTGACTTTCGAAAACTTGCTATCGTAACATGCAGGTTTCCTCAACATACCGTAATACACCATTTCACCGTAGTTCGTATGACAAGTGGTAATGTTAGAAAATGATTCAGACATGGAAATATCCGAGACCGGGATCAAATCCAGGAACTAGCTTCACTTGGTTTCCACTACCGCGTTATCACGGTCTGTATGTAATATCATATTACTAATATGTATATTGTATGTCTGTCATATCGATTAATAGCCACTAATTTATTCGACTTTTCGATTGAAGAATAGAAGTTATCAACGCCCAAAAGATGCTAAAAAGTATATAAATAAATATGTTGGGACATTAACACACAGCACCATCTAGTTCCATGGTAAGCTACAAGGCTTGTGTTATGGATACCAGATAGTTGATACATTACACATATATAAACTTTAAACACATACATATTATAAATATAAACACCCATGACAGTACAAACATTCGTGCTCAACACACAAAAAAAAGCGGGACTCGAACCCGCGACCGCTGGCACAGCAAGTAGGGTCACTACACACTGAGCCAAACATATATTCCCGTATTTTAAATTCAATATTGACAGTTAAATGCATTTAAATTAAGTATTCAAATTTTAATAGTAAGTAAAAATGTTAATGTACAATTGTATTAATTCATAGGAAAATCTTATTAGTCAGATCAGTAGATAAAAGATTTTATTGGCAGTGAATACCGACAATAAAGAACTGTTACTGTTAAAGTAGTACATAGTACCTAGTCTATTTTCTCATTTGCAGTGCCAGTTTGGGTTATTATTGGTTCTAATGCTTAGCTTATGTACACTAATTGTAAATAGAATTAAAATGTGATTACGAAGAAAAAAAAATCAAAATTAAAATCATTAGAAAAAGATTTTTTTTTTAAATAAAACAATTTCCTTTTAAAATGGCTTTTATTTTTTATTATTTTTTAATCCGTCACATCAAAAGTAGACGTCAAAAATTTCCTTATATAAATAAATTTAGTGATACAATTTTTTACAGGAAATACTAAAATGCATTCGGGCGAGTCAAACGGATTAAAATCATAAAATTCTACGACATCGTCGTCATCAGAAAACAAATCTATTTCGCTCTTTTGTATATTCCGAAGACTGACACATTCGGTTTTTTCTAAAAAGGTACAAACATCTTGCACACTTCTAGTCGAAATACATTCGAAGATATTGCTTAAAAATGTGATAGAGCATCCTGGCAATTCAAAAACCTTGTTCATGATCACGGTGGCCCATTTAAAGAATAGATCTATTTGAATCTCTGCGTCTAAATTAAGCCATGGAGTTGGTATAAAGTGCAGGTCAGGCTTCACACTTAAAAAGTATGATTGGGCAAATTTCTTCAAAACAACTTTGTTGTTGAACATACCAACGCGTTTGATCACATCTTTTTCTTCCATTTCTTTAAGTCTGTCGTATAGGCATTTTCGGTCTAAGGAAGAACAGTCCTGTAAAAGTGGATGATAGTTTTTTAATCTTTTTGAAAATGTGGAAACAGATTATTAATTAAATGGCATTGTGTTCAGCCCTCAGCCCTTCAGCGCTTCACTCGGACTCTCAAGCGAGTGCGTCACCATTGGGCTATCGCTGCTTACCATTATGAAGAGATACACTGCATCAGGTATGGCAGATGTGAAAAGAAAGCGTCATGGGAGAAACTAAGAAAATGTCGTAAAAGGATTTGGGTACAACATATTCGTGAAGGTAGATGACAAATATTTATTAAGCTTTAATTAAGGTATATTAGATGTCATGTAATCTGAATGTAATATTAAAAATGTTGAATTACATGCAAGAACTTATAAAGCTAAATTAATTCATTTGTTATATTTGAGAAAGAAAATTTAATTTATTACCAGTAAATCTTGAAAAGTGGCACCTTCACCTGCTTTGTCTACTAAATAGCGAACTATTTCGTCGCTGATGTCTATATCTTCGTTATGAAAAGCTGTTATCACTGAATACCTGTAAAAACGAATTAAAATTTTGGTTTTCAAATATTTTAGTAACTTTTAAGTTTTTTAAAATAATAACATTAATGACTTACTTTGTTAATTGCTGAAGGATATTTTCATAATCAGAGTTTTCGTATACTTTTGAAAATGTTTTCACATTAGATTTGCTCTTCCATCCCACAAGACCTGATTTTAATTTAAATTTATTTTCCATGTCGATAACATTCATTTGTTCTTCTTGCACTATCGAACCAGCGAATCCTGTTACATGGGGTATTGTATCGGAAAAGATTTCTAGAACATCAGAGCTGCACATTTCAAATAACAGACAGTTGATTTCAGCGGACCCTTTGAGGCCGTTCCTAGATAGTTCCGTATCTAAGATTTCTTCTAAGTTTTCCCCAAATTCTGAATCTAACCTTTGCACCCATTTTCTTCGGTACGTTGCTGAAATTTTGTAAGAAGAATGGACTATATCTTCACAATTCCCTTTATTGCTGCGATTGTTCATAACTTTATCTCTTGCAGCGATAGCGCCACTTTTTCGTAGATGTTCAATTGCACTTCTAAGGGTTAGTTCAGGGTATCCTTTAAACGTCGCGTGTATTTTTTTCGCTGTATCTGAAGTTATGTGTTCTTTTAAAGACAGCATTATAGTTAGAAGAATACCTTCTTTTAAAGTAGCAAAATCTGGTTGGGATATTGAAGATGTTTGGTATATGTTAAAAGCTCGGTTTGCTGACGAAGGAGTTATAGCATAGAATGCGTTGAACTCATCAAGATTCATTGCAATACAAGGAGTTCTTTGTGTGTACGATTTAATTTTCTCTATTTGTGATATAATCCAAATCAACTCAAGCATTGGTAATCTGGCTTCATTCATGTATTTCGTTATATTCGTTTGATAACGAAGTCTTAGCACTTTTAGAAGTCCTTCATAGTTTTTGATTATATCCCTACGTCGTCTTAATTCGTTTAAAATGCACATTTTCTCGTGTACCAATGACGATTTTGTTTCCAGAGTTAGTGCTCGTTTATGACAACTAGTTGCAGTTTTTTTAGGATCAAACAGAGTTAACAGATCTCTTGCGACAGTATTTCTAATTTTCAAGCAACCCGGTTGAGTTACTGGACTCATAATAGTAATTGCAACTTTGCACAACATAATTATTTTATCGTCAAACTCAGACCATCTTATTGGTGGATCTGTCGGCTTTTTTCTGATTCTTCGAGTTATTTCAGTTTTTATTATTTTCCCTTTCTCTTTCCTCTTTCTTGTAGTTTTACTGACTTTAGGTTTTTTCTTCTTCAATAATTTTACTTTTGGTTTGGCTATAACCTTCGGTGGAACATTGGGATTTCTAAATATGTAAGTACGCCACAAACGAGCAATATCCATGAATATGCTAGAATCAAAACCGCATGGTCCGGAACCATCCCCATACCTTTTTCCATTATCGAATTCCGCTACAGTGTTCTCAGTTCGCATTGGATGGACTAGTCTATATCGTTCTCGTTTCCCCATAATGATAGTTGTATTTAGACTGATAGTAGTAACTTCGTTCCAATAATCGTAAACATTTTGCATTGTATTAAAGGTGAATGATTTCTCTAACGAACTTATATCGGCTTCGTCTCGTGGCCATTTCCCTGACGTGTCTATTATCGTTGCTCTACGATTGACATAAAACACGTAAGTGACAAGACCGCCATCTTTAGTGATTATGTTAGATGGCTGATTTATTAATTGTACAAGTCCCAGAACAGCCAAAACTTTTAATCCCACTCGAATAGAATTATGCAAGCTTTTACATTGAAGTAGAATTCTTCCTAATGAATCTGGCGCGTCCCGTATTTTAACATTAAACAAGTTTTCATTACATTTCAACTGAGCTAAGTCTGATATTTCGATATTACTTATATTGCCTAAAGCAAATTCTATTGTCATCTCAGGTATAATGTAAAAGAGAGACCCGAAGCCTGGATACGAACAGTCATTATCATAATCAGAAAAATATATCAATTGCATGATGAATTCGTGTAGTTTTTGAATTTTCATATACCTTGGATATATGAACTGTGAGCATGATCTCATAGTACCTGAAGTGAGTTTTTTTTTTGATTTTGTATATAGTTGTGATCTAGCACAGATTTCATTGTATTTATTTTTAATTATAGGATCTGTTGCTTTAACATCGGGAGCACAGATAAAGAATGTGAATTTAATATAATTTTTGGGCCTTTTTAGTTTTAAGATTTTTAGCTGTCCATCTATCATAAGCTTTTGAACGAATAACTTAAGCGATTTTGTATCCATTGGTGGTTCATTTATTTCCTTTGAAACTAATGTACTTAAAGTTTGGAAACCTATAACATATTTCAGTTTGTGAATTACTTTTAAAATTCCATTTGCGAATTTCAACTGTCGTAATGTTGGAGTTTTTTTTGCATTGAGTAATGAACATGTAACATTTTCAAAGCCTTCTATTACTTTTATTTCAGTAATAGCATCTTTAACATTATCTGTTTCTTTTTGTTCCTCATTGTGTTCATTTTCTAACTTAATCTTCTTACATGGTGTTTCATATTCAGTGTCATTAGCATTTTCAGTAGCGTGTGTTGTATCTGTATTCTTATTTGTATTATTCACATATTCTAAAAGTTTATCTTTTTCATGCTCATACTCCTTATCCATTTCTTTTGTTGCAGCAATTGCTATATACCTGTGATTAATAATTCATCTTATAACTAAACATATTTAAAAAAGAACTTAAAAATTTGATCTATAAAAATTAAAAATTATCTATACATACATATAATAAAATGCTAAACTAAACCGAATCTGTACATTAAATATTTATTGGAAATCTTATTGAAATAGACATTATTATCGATACAGAGGCAGATTTTTGTCTGTCTGTCTGTGACCTCATCACGAAAAAAACGACTGGACAGATTTTGACGAAATTTGGTATGATGATAGCTGATTATCCGGGTCAACATATAGGATACTTTTTACTGCGAGAAAATATCTCATTTTTGAGCTGAACATTAAAACATAACTGGGGACGATCCAAAGCGTGGCGAGGGTGAGTTGATAGTTTAATATATAAATTAAATAAGTTTACATATATATCCAGACATTATATTGAATAACTATTATTCATACAAAAGTGAATGTAAATAATGATACCTAGCTGTTCTCTGCCTGCCTTTGTCTTCCAAAAATTCTCTTACAATCTTTCTACTTTTCAGAATTCTGCAAATTGTTCTGCTTGTATAAAACTCAACACCCAAAAGTTGTGCTATTTGAATTTGTGTCAAACCTTTCAGGCCTGCTTTCAAAAACATCTCATAAGCTTGTCTCATTAAGTTCACTCCAACTTTGTATTGACATTTTAACGGTTCAATTTGTTCTTCATCAGACTGAGATGATTCATCACTTTGTGATGTAAGTGAAATAAATTTTTTCTTAACAATAATTTTCTGCTTTTCATTTTTCAAAGTCCTTTCTAATTTTACTTCTCTATCTTCCTGCAAAAGTAAAAATAGTACAAAATATATTTTTATGTGAGATGTGCAGTGCTGCTGAGAAAGCACTAGTTCCATATATACCATATATTAACTAAGAAATTTCACAAGTTAACAGATGTTAGTCGTGTTTAGAATATACTAACAATTTTGCACAAAGATTATTTACAATGTTAATGATTGTTATCATTTCCAACATGATTACCACTTGTCTTAACGGTGAAGGAAAACATCGTGAGGAAACCTGCATGACTGAGAAAACCTAGCAAATTTTCAAAAGACATGTGAAGTCCGCCTACCCGCACTTTGCCAGCGTGGTGGACTATAGCCTGATTCCCCTCGTACTGAAGAGAGGCCCGTGCCCAGCAGTAGGACGTTAAAAAAGGGCTGAATATGATACAATGTTAAAGAATTAAAAATACTCACAAAACGAAAAATGTTTATTCCCTTTTGAAGCCGTTTACTCTGCAGAGGAGTCATATATCCTTTCTTTATCATAATTTCATTCTGTTCTGAACGTTCTGGTTGTGTTAAAAGGTATTGGACCATTTTATGTATACTGCCTGTTTTAGGTAGAGATTCTAATATTGGCTGATGAAACCTTTTTAATCGCAGGAGTATACTCTTCATAGCTCTGCCACCTGTTACTTGAGTTGAATATTGAGTTTTCAATAAATCAAGCTTTTGTAGCACATTTCTATTGTAAAACAACAGTTTTGGTTCTTTAACTATGTCATTTAAATTTGTTTTGCCTATTGTCATTTGACCCTGTAATTAATAATAATCACAATATATATTTGAATTATTTTCTTTAACATTATTTCAGAAATAAAGTTTCTTTTATAAAAATATACAAAAATAAAGTACCTACATTTTCTCTCCCTTTCCCTACAAGTTCTAATATGCAGTAATGAGTTGGAGTCAATTGGTTCAAATAACTTATAGGTAAATGTGATGCTAAAGCCTGCCATCTTTCCTCAAGAGAAGCAACTAAAACCAATTTGTCACCATAATAAGATACAACTTCTTCATAGGACATCAACTGTATGGCATTCTTTGGTATTAGCAGTCTGGAGTCATAATTTGGACATGAGCCATACTCATTTTCCACAGGATTATACTCATAAGGTCCATCTAAGTAATCCGGCTAAAATAAATATACATCTTGAATACTTTATCAGTCGTGCATACTTCTATACATATAATAAAATTGTAAGTAAGCCGAATCTGTACATTAATTTTTTTTGGAAAAGCTTATTGAAATAAACATTATTATCGATACAGAGTCCGAATGTATAGTTTTTAGAATTTTTGTCTGTCTGTTACCGCATCACAGCAAAACCACTGGAGGGATTTTGATGAAATTTGGTATGTTGATAGCTGGTTATACGGGTCAACATATAGGATATTTTTTACTGCTGGAAAATGTCTAATTTCTGAGAAAATATACAAAAACTGCAATGTAAGAGTATACTAATATGTAAAACCTAAGAATTTGGTTTTTGGTCATTTAAACGCAGGCGGAGCCGCGGGCAATACTAGTTTGGTTATAGTTTTAAAGATCATATCTGTCAAACATTAAACATACAAAGACTTCAATTAAATTCAACATTCAATAGTAAACTATTTAGTTGAGTATTTATATAAGCTATTAAGGAAATTTAATCACTCCTTTACTAATTATTTTGTTAGGTTTTATTCGAGATTTTAGAGATTAGGTTATGTGTAAAATCTGATATCTGAATGATCTACTATCCAGGTGATTTAAAATAAACAACTATTCACTATTTTTAGTAACTAATATAATGTTAAATGTTCTGACACCTTTTGTTAGTGACATATAATCCAGTCTCTATTATTAAACCCAACATGTAATATGTATAAACAACAATAAATTAGTTTGATTGTAATTATACAAAATACTTCATAAGAAAGAACTACTTTTATTTTCTTACCGGATCTAACAAATGCCCCGTACTTTCATCAATTATTGTAAATCTATCTACGATATCTATAACTGGTGGTGGCTCACTGACTTGATAAAATAAAATTGATTCAGATTCTGCTATAAATTTAAAATACTTTATTTTCATTTTTTCTGTTATTGTAGAACCTATACGTTTTTCCATGCGCCTCCATAATAATTCTATCCCTATACCACTCAGACCGTCTAATGCAATTTCGTCTACTAAAAAGTGCTTATAATTAAATGTAAAAGGTTTATGTGAAGCGCCTATCATTTTCAATGATAGAACAATATTACACAGTTCACTTAGTATTTAATCGAATGTTCTAAAGATTAAAATTCACAGAATTTATTTTCATTTTTCAGTTTTCACGTATAAATTGACAATCACACATAGACAATTAACAATTGACATTTGTTATCTTATCTCATCATTTGTCAAAATATAGATAATATCACAAACTGTATAGAAATGCGAAGCATGTTTAATATTAAAGAGCGGTCCACACATTCGACAAGACGAGACATAACAGACTACCTCGCTACATTCTCGTTTAACTAGCTATTGTAACAAAAAAAAGCAACAAACATTTAATTATTATTTTAAAAATCGAGGTTAAAATTTGTCTTTATTAAAAAGAAATGGAACAAAAAAAATGAAAAATCGTACTTTTCATTTGTTTATACTAAGTGACCACATGATTTTTTTCATGACTGATAAAGTATTCAAGATGTATATTTATTTTAGCCGGATTACTTAGATGGACCTTATGAGTATAATCCTGTGGAAAATGAGTATGGCTCATGTCCAAATTATGACTCCAGACTGCTAATACCAAAGAATGCCATACAGTTGATGTCCTATGAAGAAGTTGTATCTTATTATGGTGACAAATTGGTTTTAGTTGCTTCTCTTGAGGAAAGATGGCAGGCTTTAGCATCACATTTACCTATAAGTTATTTGAACCAATTGACTCCAACTCACTACTGCATATTAGAACTTGTAGGAAAAGGGAGAGAAAATGTAGGTACTTTATTTTTGTATATTTTCAAAGTGCTCTCAAATTCAATAATCTGCCGATTTGCACAAGCCGAAGAGGCAAAAATCATCATAAACTTTATAGTCGATTTTTGCCTCTTCGGCTTGTGCAAATCGGCAGATTATTGAATTGGACACTTTTCAGGATGCGACTAGCCTACCACATCTTAATCTGACGGTTTCAAGTATTTCTACCTTATCAAAACATTTTTTAAATATTTTGATCGGCTTCCCTAGACGCGCGCCTTTATATAGAAGACTTATATTATGGTGAAAGTACTCAATAGAGTGCAAGGTAACCTCTTTTATGTTAATCTGCCGCGCTTGAGTAACTACAAAAATCCCCTCTTGGGCTCCCCTACTATAAAGCAGAAATATGGTAAACATGCCGTCTTACATAATTTTTTTTATTAAAAATACCAAAATTAAAAAATATTGTACATTAATACATTAAGTACATCACAGAGGTAAAGATAAAAAGGTATAAAGAAAACAAATTCAAGTTTCAATATTTTATTTACTAAAGAAAAGGAATACATTTTATCCTTTGCTAAAATATTTAGCATATATTAATAATATTTTAATGAGAAAATGATCATAACATTTGTAGACTATGAAGTAAAAAATACAAAACAGTGCCCCCATAGAACTTCTATTTCATATTTTGCACGTCAGAGTTTCATTCTATTCGTCTCTAGTTATAAAAATTGCACTCTATAAATATGGGCAGCGAATACGGTGTAACAAGTATCTATCACTGCGTTTGCATTTTGCATTATAATATTATAAAACTCCTACTTAACCTATGGAGTGTCTAAAAAGCAAACCAACGCGGTTAACGTAAGAGATATTATAAGTAGTTCATGATTAAACGCCATGTTGACGAGACAGGTAACTTATAATGAAATTACTTCGTTAAAAGGATAAAGATTCCCCAAACTACCATCAGATCTGTCAGGAGAAGAGATTTGGAACGCCCACATACATTTTGCACCGTAGCTTGAAGTTAACTTGAATTTAACATGGACTTTCCAAATCTGCTCCGCGGGCAAAACATGGGCGGTTACCAAGTATAGTTCCACTAAAGGCACACTAAATAAACTTCCTAAGGCCGGGATCTGGGAGTAAACATTTGTCGTAAAGACTACAGATGCAAGTAAATTTACTTAGGCACTTCCATAGTTACCGATCTCCCCGTCTATTTGTCTGACGCTGATATACGAATTCGAAAGAGTTAGAAGTAGAAAAATATTGCACGCGCGTTAACAGACTTTTTTTTAGTGATTGCGATAATCGTCACTGTTATAAATTTTTTGTTTTTAACGTTTTTCGCCAACATACAATTTAAAATATATAGCAACATTTCATTTTAACTCTTACTTTTATTCTTAAAGATATGAATTTATAGATTACTTTGAAATACCTAATGCAATTGTTCTTAGATGTCCAAGATTTTTTGAATCGTGCCACTAAAATATAAAATACTTCACTAAAACAGACGAAGAATAAAATCAAAAGGGAGTAAAATAAAGCATTTCTTTTAAATTGCACTAATAGGTACTTAAACATTTTATGAATTAATTATTATTAATAAAGTAATTATATACTAAATTTTAAAAATAGCCATTTCCATAACACTGCACTCTTTAATGAACCACACAATTCGATTCCAAATAAACTAGTGACTATTATCGCACCACCGTATCTAAAGGCGCAGCTACCCCTATAAATAAACCCCATAATATATACAAGATATAGTAAACCTATGTGATGGTTAGTTTGAGATAACGTGATGCAAACTCGCTATTACTTAAGATTACTTTCATTAGATTTTGGATCTTTTTAAATCGAATCCTCTGTAATTACAGATCTTTTTTTTATCATTATCATAAAGTCTTCAATTTCTAACACTAAGGCTCCAAGTCTCAAACAAAATTAAGCGGTCTATATAAACTACGTACGTACGATACGTTCTAATATAATTCTCAATATTTCATAAATTAATATTTTACGCTTAAAACGATACTCTCTAGGCATGTTAATTTACGAGTATAAAAGATGGTTCAGTAATTTAAAACGTAGAAATGGTTATTGTACATTTCGTTAATATTACTTCTTTATCATTACAAAAACAATATTAACAATTCATCTTCAAAATGTTCGCGCTTACTCTATGACTTAACTATGTACTCGACAAAAAGTATAAATTACATTACATAAACCCCTATTTACATTTACTTACTAGACTCTCTTACGTATGTCTGCAAATTGTATCTCCCAACTTTGAAAGTGGTCGGTGTTACTAGTATTTCTATATTTGTATCAAATTAAAATAAATAAATACCAAATCATAAATATATTATAATCAAATATCAAATGATTTATCAATTTGATATTTTTTAAACGTCTTAACAGATAAAACTTTTCAGCCCTTTACAAAATTTTAAAATTTTAATATAAATCATATATGTACTTAGTAAATTAAATATTCAACACTGTCCATAACACAAAATTGTTGAATAAGATATTAGATTAAATAAAAAAAAAGATATATTTGTACCTGGCAATACCATGAATGCGCATTTTAATCATAGTACAATATTATGTAGCGACGACTTATATGTTATATATTGTCTAATTAGTATGTATATACTTAAGTCAAATTTAGTTCTTATATATTCATATCAAGCAAGGTCTACAACAGTTGTTTTTGCAGATTCAAAGTAAAACAGCTTGATAATTAAAATATTATTTTCATATATCAATTACCACTTTTAAAGTTGCGAGATATATCTTTTCAAATAAACCTGGCCGAATACAAAAGCGTCTACTTATCAAATGATTAAATATAATTATTAGAAACAAACAAGTATGTGTGCGTATTATTATCAAAATATATAAGAAAGTTGGCAGTTACGTTTACAATTAAAAATAACAATTACAATTTACTAATTAATACGTTATTCGATTACCTCTATAAATAAATAATAATATATTTTAAAAAGTCATGGCATCTTTGGTATATTCGTGTGAAATGAACGTGAGTATTGTAACAAGGCATTGTTAGAATGCCATCGTATTTATTTTATATAAAATATTAATTACGCAGTTTATAACTTCTATTGTATCTACTCTACTGTCCGTTTTAACATCAGTCCAAACGGAAACTGATAATGTACCATTCACACGTGGTTAGTTTCTCGCGCGAGTACTCACTCTTCATATATTTAAGTGTTACTTTATTCGTGTATAATTCTAATAACTATATGATCTTGCGAAGTTTTAGGTTACCCAGTGATATAATAGTGCTTGTAGTCGTACCATATTAGGTGAAGTAATTTAATTTTCAACGAGTAGGTACTAGCGCGAGTCACTGAACAGGAGTGGTCAAGACATAACGTAAGTATTACAATCCTGCCACACACACTTAGGCACTAGATCATTACAAATAGAATTGACATTTTCTTTACACACATTTAATTGTCAACAATTAGAGAAAATGAGTATAAACTTCCTTTTGAAAACAACTCGCTAGCTAGTGTTGAAGCGTTTTGTTCGTATTCGTAAATATCAACAGGAACGTTTCCGAACAGAAGTTTTAAAGTTTGGCCCACTCGTCTGGATATTTAATTTAGAATCAACTGTCGATTAAAACGTAAGTAATATTAGGGTAAGATAACACAGTACATTCGAAGTTTCTCAAAAGTGTTGTAGTACTGTGTGCTCTCAGCCTTAACATTTGAGTGTACTTTTATATACAGTGTGGTCGCACTTTGCGTGGACCACATTACCTTTACAAAATGGCGCACTCTAAATTGGCAAAGTTGCACCGCAGTGCGCTTACGCTCTATTATCTATGTATATATGTAATCACTAAACCTATAACATTACCGAATAATTATCAAAACGATCCCCTAATAATCTAGATACACCCATAAGAAGCACTTTTTTAATCAATGAATGAGTATCAGGATTTACATATTATTTATACAGGGTAAATATAATTTATATCATATCTCATCTCTGTCACGTTTACGTCTATATTGTTGTAAACATTATTCATATAAATCGACAACATTTACTTGAGATTTAAATAAATGCAGATAAAATGCGTAATAAAAAGAAACTTCAAACGAAAAAGGAGATCGAAATATAATGTTTTAATAGGTTGTAATATATAATGTAGATAGAAATGATTTAGTTAAGTACAAAGTTCACAGAATGTTGTCGTTTTATAAAAGATCTTCAGTTTTAGAAATTCCTCACTATACTAATGTAGTGCTACTAATAGTAGTAAAAAGCCATTCGCGAATTAATTGCACATTTCCCTTGAGACGATTTAACATTTTGCTATCGAGTTCAAATCTCAAGGGAAATCTGCGACATCCGCAACTCCACACTATCTAGTCATCAACATGTTACCAACAAAACTTATATTTTTTACCTAAAATATAAGTAAACTATGTATATTCTAAACAATCTACAAATTTGTTACATTTCTCATCATACATACATACATGCATCGATAATATTGTTTTGTCTCTTAAAAAAAATACATTTCTGTCACCAACTCCGATATACAGTCGATTTAGATTTGGGATAATCACGAGTACGTATATCTTTATATCATGGAAGAGAAAGTTTCGTCACGACATAGGTGACTCTGTATACAATCCAAGTCGTAACAAACATCATGAACAACGCTATATGCCTATCTTTCGAATATAGAAAGTAAAATAGGCTCTAAGTTTCTAATTTATAGGCAACTCACTTGTACGGCGTTGCTTCACGCATCCGACAAGCGCCGTCGCGGAGACGACCGACGACGTTTCACTCTACGGACGGTCGCTTCGTTTGTCGTGTCGGGGTCGTGTCGGTGTCGCACCGGCGTCGTCGGTCACATCCGCGTACACTAATCACTATCGGTTCATAACAATGTGACCAATAAAGTTCGAACAACGATCACGCACCATTGGAATGTCTGTCAGAGTACGTATCACATTTATAACGAAGAGCGGGGCGGGCGCTCGAGGGGTCTGGCGCAGGGGGTCGGGGGGGTCGAAGGGGGTCGAGGGGTCGCCTGGTTGGGGGTCGCAGAGGGTGCGGGGCGGTCGCGCTAGTTGCGGTAGATGTAGGCGCAGGGCTGCGGCGCGGGCGGCGGCGGCGTGGGGGGGCGCTCGCCCGACGGCGACGGCGACGACGAGGGCGGCGAGGGCGACGACGACGACCCGGTCGCCGACCCCGACCCCGACCCGCTGCTGCGCTGCGACACTACAATTATGATGTGAGAGATTAGCTTTATTAATTGAGTTTAAACGTTTAGTATAGATTTCTCAGAGATGAGATATTTTCCCGCAGTAAAAATTATCCTGTTGACCCGGATAACCAGCTATCGTCATACCAAATTTTATCAAAATCACTGCAGTGGTTTTTCCGTGATGCGGTCACAGACAGAGAGACAAAAATTCTAAAAACTATAGATTCGGCCTCTGTATCGATAATAATGTCTATTTCAATAAGATTTTCCAAAAAATATTTAATGCACATATTCGGATGAGTTACAATTTTATTATTGTATAGATTAATTATAATTATCGGACTACTATCATAAACGCGAGTTTGTGTGTATATGTACTTTGTAACTACTTCACGCTGAATCAGCTGAAAGGAGTTGAGGTGAAACGTGCCCAGGTTGACTGTTACCTGAAGTAACAAATAGATCTCTTATAGAGATAAGTCCACGTCACTTTCTATGTATTTTGTTTTTTATAATTTATTTGTGCAATAAAGAATATATATATATATATATATATATATATATATATATAGACTGAGGATTCGTCCCTAGGTACGTTTTAATTTTTTTTGAGCAGAAAGCTAATTCTTTTTCTGAAATAAAAGTAGCCTATGTTACTCCCTATAACATCAGCTATCTTCCAGTAAAAGTCCCGTCAATATCAGCCCAGCCGTTTCAGAGATTATCCGGAACAAACAGACAGACAAAAAAAAAATAAAAAAATGTGTTTTTCTTAAGTACCGTATAGAATTTCATATTATTCATTTAGTAAAACGCTATTATTTTGACATTAGAAACGGTCACTTCAATTTTATTTATCCGTATAGATAGCAATCTCACCCAGCGTGTGATGGTGGTGCGCGCTATGCTTGTGCACGTCCCGGTCGCGCGCGTCCGCCCCGCTTGTTTCTCAGAGGTACACCTTCTTCACTGAGCGCGTGGTCGAGAAGCCGTTGTCGTTCCCGCGCCGGTACCCATCGCCCTGCGGTCCGAATATTCCTGCGTTAACTGACATGCCGCAGTGAATATGGATGATGCGTGAGTACATGGAATTAATGGTGTGTTAGTTAAATGTACCATTGTGACGTTTTTTTTTAATTTTATTTAATAATAAGTGCACAATGAACAGTATTAATGCAAAAGTTGCCAAGTGTAGTATTGTTTAAGTACGAACAACTCGTACTTGACTGGATTCTTGTTACATGTTGTTTAGTCGTTGATATACAAAAACTCAAGATATACAATTTTCCAAAGTGTCCGCAAAAAGAAGAGCATAACTCAAAAAAAGAACTTTATGTGATGTGCGTAAGTTCGAATTTGTGTTATGACAATTAGAATTTTCTATTTTTGAATTTTATTCTTTGGTTTGACGTAACGTCACATGTCGACGCCACTTTTTGAGGAGATATTTGTTAGGAAATATGTATGTATCTATTTTTTTATATATCAATGTGTTTAGTTCATAATTTTTTATTGGTAAAATGTCACTATGGTACACGCATGAAATAGGAAGGCAATGATTAATGGTTAATGGCATGAAAATGAAAGAGGTTAATGATAGTGAATTATTATTATTAACATCAAACACAAGCCACATCGCAGAGATAGGTGTTAGGTGCAAAATTAAAGTTCTATCATATTAAAAAATTAAGATTAAAATTATGTTCGATTTAATCACATGATGGATGCGATTTGATAATAAAGCGTTGTGATACAGACAAACCTCTTGTTGATATTTCTTCAAGTGCTTAAAAATTAAAAAAAAAGTTAATTTACCTACTAATAGATTCAAAATTATGACAGTTCTATTTAAAAAATAACATATATTTTAAATTTTTAGTGCTGAAATTTGAATAAAAAGAATAAAGTAGTGATTAAAATTACGTTTTCAATAAACCACTATTGCTTTACTACTAAACTATTAAATACCGAATTATCCAAAATAATATAAATAGTAGTTTATTGAAAGTTTAAAGAAAGATAAGTGCCTTGAAATTCGTTTCAATGATGATCATGTAAGTATTTAAAAGTATATCACACATATTATGATAGAACGACAATTAATACACATAATATTATTACTGTTAAATTTTTTGACAGATATTTTTTTTTTATCGAAGTGAAAACTTCTATAGGCAGGTTTGGATGGGGAGTAAATTCCTGTAAGTCGTCATCGACATGGTCACGTGACGTGTTAATGTTAAAGAGTGCCGGTAGATGCCAAAACCAGATAAATGTAAAGAGTTTAATTTAAGATCAAACACTTACATTATTAATATGTCTAGATAGACAGTCGAAGCTGAAAACGCGTCGAAAAAAATTGCGTCCAATTCTTAGCCGCAAGACAAATTCTCCGCGATTAGTATCAATCGCGACGCCACTGGATACGATCGAGTTTGTTTGTAAAAATCTCTTGTTTACAATGACGGTTTGTGTGATTAAAGTGTGCAAAAATTACAAAGGACGATCTAAAACAACAACAAAAGTTACCTATCATCGGTAAGTAACAATATTTCGTATCAGTTCCAGCAAATTAAGCCATTAAAATATTTCGAAATTAATAATTATTTCTTTGTGACATTTTGTGTTTGACGTGTGTGTTTCCAGTTTATATAGAATATCTAATAAGTAAATATGAAAAAGTAAAATAGTAAATGAAAACCCCCTGTTTAGCTATTTATTTGTGAATTGAAAAAATATATACTCGACTATGATAAATTTCTCCTTCTCTCGACTATGATAAATAAATTTTGAGGGGAATTTTGCAACAACTGATAACATTATGCACGCACACTAGGAAAGCTACTAATGACTAATGGCGAGTGTAAGACGTACCTGTCACGCACACTATCATCCCTATTTAAAACTCCAATAGGATCCCATCAAAAGCGATAAAAGCCACATAGAAACCAATAAATATTTCGACGCCTCCTACGCATAAAGTCGGAACTCATTTTTTGAGTAAAATGATATTTTTGTCTCATTGTAACCATATTATACCATATTAAATATTAGTGAATTCAGAAAATTAATATCTTCTATAAATAATGAATTTTCAAATGGATAATAGTCTTAACATATGAACACTCCCTCGCATACAGTCGCGCCGCTAGTTTCGACGATATGCACCGGTTTATTGGGCCGCGCACATGCCAATGAGAGCACAGTAACGACGTCGTATGACACAATCGCTGTCACAATTTTGAATGTTAAAAATAATATTGAACAAACGTTTTATGTGGTGTTGTTGTTGTTTTTTTTATAATTAAAACTAATACTTTAGTAATGAGTAACGTACGTTCGTCAAAGATTTTGAAATTAGTGTTAAATAAGTTAAACCCAAACAGCGAAGTCATAACGGCTGGTGAACATCTTAGAAAAGGTAAGTTTTATTGCATTTTCGTATATTATTATGAAATGTACTTCTTTACTATGCCATATTATCGTAGGAAAAAATAATATTAATATGTGATAGCGTTCAATTGTCAACAATAAATAAAATTACGGTTCCGGCGCATAACGTCGGTATATCTATGTTACGACTGTATGCGCCGTTAACAATCACTGGCAGTGGTCAGTTAAGACTTTATACTACGCAATAATTCTACTCTAGGAGTCGTAACTTATTATTACGACCATATGCGTGGTTGCAATTTAAAGTTAAATGAACGTATAAAGACGTAACATAGACATAAATTTATTGGTTCCTATGTGGCTTTTGTCGCTTTTGGTGGTATCCTATTGGAGTTTTTCAACAGGGATAACAAACCTGGCCTGTTTGATTTAGTTCTTTTGCAGCGCGACGCTCTATCTAGACATATATATAATCTTAGATCAAACAATTCATTTGAATATCCAAAAATAACAACTGTTTGTACAAAAAGAAGAAGTGTTGACAGAAGTGACAACTTAAACTATAAAGTTTTAATATCTTACTTCTGTCGGCAGTCTTAATGACTGGTTTTTTTTGAAAAAAAAATGTCTTTATGCACACTCGACTTGAGGTTGAGCTGGTGAATGCGTTACGAAAAAATGTTGCCATGGTTAACCGTTGTTATCGTATGACAAATGATATACAGTATTATATTTATTCCTTGAATAATATGCTATAAATATATGATTGTAATATATTTAATATGCGTTATTTTTAGTATCTCACCTATCCTAATTATTTAAAACATAAATTGATTTTTATAAAGAGTACCGATAACCTACAGAAGTTTTACTCCTTGGGCGTGTACAGATTCATACACTCTTTAAATTTTTTTCAAATGTCATATCTATCCAAAGTCTATGTAGGTATATATACATGATCACCACACAAACGTGCAAGCGTTAGCAAAACAATGAGCAACTGACATTGACCTGGTGCGAGCGCAGGGTGCCGAAGTTGTCGCGCCGGTACGCGTCCGGCTGGAACTGGAACAGCGTCTCGTGGTGCGGGTGGTAGGGCGGGTGCTTGCGCAGCGTGGCGCGCGGCGACGCCGGCTTCGGCGGCGGCGCCAGCACCGGCTCCGCGTACGTCACTTCCTCCACCTGCTGCAACAGCTTCGGTTCCGCTTGGATTCTGAAAGGCGAATGCTTAGTTACTCTGTGCTTTTTGTTTTGTCTTGTTAGATTTCTCTGCGGTTTGATTACTCTGTGGCTTAGTTAATTTGTGGGATGATTACGGATTACCCTGTAGTCAATTTACTTGATATTTTAGCTAGTCTCTTGGATAAGTAGTTTGTTTATACCCTTAGTTTAACTTTTATTCCGAATAGTAATAATTAATTATACACATATCAAAAGAAATCTTTGCACTCTTATCAATCTTCTTCTTCTCCCTGCCCATTTCCCAATCACTTGGGGTCGGCGCAGTACATCTTCTGTACTGCTGATAGGATTTGGCAAAAGTTTTACGACCGGCCGCCTGCCTGACGTCAACCCTCCTTGGGAATGCTATTGTCTCTTTTTTGTCTGAATGGTGTCGCGGAAGTCTTGTAATTACATATTATGCACTATCGATTTTGTTGTCTTTTAAAATATTTTTTATACTATTACTTAAATTTTTAATGTAATTTTCGGATAATATTTTCGTTAATAAAATATAGATTGTAAATAAAGAAAATCTTACCGATTAATATTTTGACGTTGTTCAAAATACTCGTATTCCGTATCAGGGTATGGCATGTTGTCGTCGTCGTCCTTCTTACACCGCCGCCCGCATATGTACCCGGCGGTGAAGCCCGCGCCCAGCGCCGCCAAAGCCCCGGCGGCGACCGCTAGCGCTAGGGTTTCTACTGAGTACGCGGCGGGAGGGGGGTCAGCTGCGAGTACTTCTGGTCCTGGTATATAAATTATATATGTTATGAAATTCGTCAATTCTTCATAAGTTTTAATAAAAAAATCACTGATTTTTCACGCAGAAATAACTGGACGTGCTTTGTAATTGATTGATTATTGATATGATTGCTGTAAAGCATTCGAAACGTCGAGAATCAAAAATCAAAATAAATCGCGAAATAATCCGAAAAGATAGTTTTATTTAAAATGTCAAATATCGTAACAAACGTAAATCTAAGAAAGTATTATAAAATCTAAGAATTTGGTTTTTGGTCATCAGAACGCGGGCGAAGCCTCGGACAATGCTAGTGTAAAATAAATAGATGAAAATGTCACGTTGAGTACGTTGACCACCCTAAGCTTTTTAATGCCACAAAAAAGTTCCACTATTTATTTATCATCCTTTAATACTATAGACTTATGTATCTATGGTCGGGTACATCCTTAGTTGCCTAACAGTAACCTATGCGTTATTCCATGTTATAATATTGGAACAAAAGGCTTTTAGCATTTAATTAAAGTATTATCAGAATCGAATTAGTAATTTTAGTGATTGCACTCTACATTCAAACTTACAAACTTTATCTCTTTATTATGTAAATGTAGTTCTGACCCTATATTTATTTCTTATTATTTTTGCTTTTAAAATGCATAAACTATATAATAACGAAAACGCTTAACAAAGTTACAGGACCAATTTTCCTTGATATCAATCGCTTGTATATATTGAAGAAAAAACATTAATAATCAATTTATACAGTTCGCAACATTGATGTATAAAACTACACTTATAATATAATATGTACCTTCATTGTTGTTATTATTTCCCTTCCCATCTTTATCTTGCACAATGTTGATGACTTCGCCTTTGTTCTCGCCTCTCGCATCGTCGTAGAGTCCTGAACTCAATCCTCCGACCGCGCCAGCGTCTTTACCTAAAATTGAAAAATTTTACTATTTTCATCATAATCATTGATAATATTAAGGTAATATTTTAAATAAAACTATATTTTCGGTTTTTTTCGCGGGTTTATTTTGATTTTTTGTTCCCGACGTTTCGAATGCTCTACAGCAATCATGGTCACCCGCGACAATAAAATCCGAAAAGATAGTTTTATTTAAAATATCAAAATGTGCGCGTAAATTTAAGAAAATATTATATGATATAACATTATGTAGACAAAAAAATCTTTTATCAAATAATTGAAAGGAGAATAATTGCTGCATCATACGTAGTTTTGCTTTTAAAACATGGGAAGGACTTGATCAATTTTAGTAACATTCTCTTCATTGTATATCCAAAAAATGCGTACTATGCGGGCACGCGGCGTGGCTGCCGGTGCTGACGCTCTGGTAGAAGGAGTTCTCGTCGAGCCAGCGACTGACGCCGTGCGAGTAGGCGCGGCAGCGCCCCGCCTGCTTGTCCCACGCGCAGTACGGGTCTTGGAGGGCTACGCATTCACTGGAATTTATATGATAGAGTATTAGTTTGGCATATAACATGATCCTTCTAGCTAATCAATAAGCTTGTTTATTTGATTACCTAAATATTACAAACATTAGATGATACCTATTCATAATTGGAAAGTTTGTTTATTTGTGTCTCTTAAACGTTGGACATTTTATACATAAAGGACATTTTAGGATAAATAGAGAAATAAAATTGTTTACTTATTATCCTTTCGTCAATTTTTAGGTTTCTACGTGTAAGTTTTCGGCTGTCGGCCTACATATCGGGTAGTGACGTCTTCGGTTTAATGGTCGAACCATATGCTGTTTATTGTTATTTTTTGTTGTTAACGGACTTTTTTTGAAAGTTAACTCGATATTGGGAAAGTCTCATTAGACATTTTTTATGGTATGTCCAAATAAAAAATATATTTTTTTAAACGAAGATCTGTGAATCAACAGTAAATACATGAGAAATTCCAGTAGTAGCTACTAAAGTCATCATTATTATAATTTCACCACAGCTCATGTTCGTTCACCATTCAACGCTCGCTATATCATCATTCCATCTCGATGTTGACGATCAACGCCCGATCGACTAAAACATCTATACTAATATTATAAAGAGGTAAAGTTTGTGAGATTGTGAGTTTGTGACGTCTGGATCTACTGAACCGATTTAGATGAAATTTGGTAAGAAGATATTTTGAGACCCTGGGAAGGACATGGGATACTTTTTATCCTGGAAACCATGCCTTAAGGGGGTGAAAATGGAGATGAAAGTTTCAATGGGGAATCAAGCTAGGGACGAACAGAACGAAGCGAGGGTGAGTCACCAGTAATAACATAAAACGACATATACTCACGAGCAAGAACTAATCTTATCGCTGGAACATCTATGTAGGCGCAGACTCAGCACCTCGCGGTCGGAAACGGCGATGAGGCGCGCGGCGTCGCGGCCGGCGCGCGCCACGCGCAGTGCGCGCACCGGCGACCCCGCCGCGAACGCCTGCAGCTCCTCTATCACCACCGGCACCGCGCGCTTGTTCGAATCGTATGACACGGCGTTGATTGCCTTTATTATTTTACCGTTATCTGTAATTTTATTTATTTATTTAGTTTCATTCATTCGTTCGCGTTGATAGAAATTACATTTTTAATGAAATTGTATGTTTCATTCGTTCGTTCGTTCTTTTCAATACGAGTGTTATTTCTATTGTGATATAGTAGAGAGAGGAGAGAGAGAGTAGAGAAGCTAATTCTTCATTCTACGCAACATTGGCGAAACAAATTGTACTGAAACGGAACTCCAAGGAGCCACCGAAGAAAATAACTAAATTGAGAAGCTAGTGACGTCACTGTAAGGCATTTCGTCTATTTTAAAATAATACTTTCTACGTTTTATATTTACTAATGTTTTTACGTTATAGAGTACAGCCTCAGTCAGACCGCAATGTGCAGACTATGCCATGAGACAGAGGAAACTGCTATGCACATCCTCTGCTCGTGCGGCCCACTCATGCACCGCAGAAGTATCTATCTAGGGCAGCATATTATGCAACCGGAAGAGATATAGATGCTCCCCGCTCAGAAAATCTGGAAGTTCCTGGAGTCAACAGGACTAAGCGGAGACTTTGAACTCATTATAAAGGGAGCTACAATTGACCAAAACTGGTCGACGTAGCTAACCCTAGCCAACAAAAATAATAATAATAATACAGAGTACATCTTCAGTTTTAAAAAGAATAATACTAACCTGTGCCAATAAATAGAACGTCGTATGCCTTTCCACCTGGTGTTTTTACTTGTGGATCTACGGCAATTTGCGTAAAACGGTAGCTGCAAATAAAGAAAGGAATGATATAAAACACAAACACCTTAGTACCAGTACCAGAAACTTATGCCTTCTTGTGTCAGGACTTCAAAAAAGCAAGGGGTAAATCATTCTGATGTATGTTTTCATGATATTTGTTAATAACCGCCTTGAGGTATACTACAAGCGTGGTCCTATATAAATTGTCAAACAATTTACCTCCATGCTTTCATTGATATTGTATTGGTGTAATTTTTTAGTCAATATTAATTTAAACAAAAATATTCAGGAGCTGTAAATACTTACTGAAAACTAGTTCTAATCACGATAGGCTCTCCAAAGAAAGCTGGCACAGATTCGTCCATTAATGCGTGCGTTTTAATAAAGTTTAACGTTTGATCCGGTAGCTGTCTCGAGTCGTTGTGACATGTTCCTGGTCGTGGTTCTGGTACCTAAAAGAAGACTCGAATTAAGAATGCGAATTAATGAAAAACTGTGTATGCTTCAAGGAGTAGATAGATCTCTCCATATTTAAGAGGGATTTTTTGGTGATTTTTAACGGTTTTTTTATTTTTTTTATTATTTTTTTACTTGATATTTTTTTTTAATTAGGTAATAATTAGCCTGTTTTCTATAAAAATCTCATCGTTTATTACTTTATTCAAACAATAATATTATTGACCTACCTTCGCACTATTTACAGGCAACCAATTAGAATTAATTGCACTCTGTTCCTTAAATGTTCCTTCGAATGTATCAGCGATGTCCTGCATACTGAAAGCACATACCGCACTACCCGATATACTATTTGGAGGAGTTGTGAATGTCCCATACATAAGTTGGGCATTTAGACCGCCGTATACGCCTTCTATGAGCTCTGTTGTTGATTCTGTAAGTTTCAAAAAAAAGTTTAATTCTTCCACTAATTTAAATATGTATATTCTTATAAAGCAAAGCCTTCATTCCCTTTAAAAATTACACAACAAGCTTAAAAATGTAGTAGGAATTGTAGTACCGTAAAAACTCTACAAAATATGTTTTAGGCATTAATTTGATTTTTTGTTAGGAAAATGTTTAGTTTTTATATTTTATTTAAATAGAAAAGTATACACAATAGTGAACAAATAATACCAATATACAATAAATGGTGCTTTGAAAAGATTGATTCAACAAATTGCAGTACTTACGAATTTCATTGAAGTAGAAAGGAAAATCTCCAGCAACAGAACAATTGAGGCGCGACTTGAGGAATGACGTCCATCGCTGTTTGAATCTGTGCGGTCCGCCGCGATCGTCGCGACACACACGAGCCACGCGAGAGAATACCGCCTGAACGAATGAATGATGAGCGAATGAATAAATGTTAATTAGTTTAAATCATTATCGGTATAAAAATTAATTAATATATACAGATTTAATATTTTAATTTCTTTTCTTATTTTATAGTTTTGAAGTTTTGATTACTAAATATTTTTTTTACTATACTCTTAAAATATAGTAAAGATGTCAATTAAATTCCTTAATTATATTTTCTTATCATTTTTTACAGTTAAATAAAACTTACCTTTCCACAATTGATGTATTCAACGGCTGTTTCTCGGAAGAAGAAGTACACGAAATTGCCATGCACTAATGAATTCACGAAATCAGGGGCTGTGGACAGGATAATTACCGTTAGTCGCAAACAGGTCGATATTGATGCATTATGTAAACTAACGTGATTTACTAGAGCCCTCTTAATCCAGGGCTGGCAAATCTATTACACAGTTTGATTAATGTTAATTAAACTAAATCGTATGCCTTAATGGTTAGTGACAATATAATAAAGCAGGATTATTTTTTAGTAGGTTAATAATAGCAATATTAGTTTATTCTTTTTTTTTCTATAATGGCTTATAGTTGCGTTAACAGACGCAATCCATTCTGCCAGTGTCACGTTTTGTGAGGAAGACACGAATTCTTTTTGTTTTAAATACACAAAATATGATATTGATATGATAAACGTCAACATAAATGAACTATATTATAAAGTATAATATTAATTAAATAATAAACTAATAAAGTTTTAGTTAATGTGAAAATATATTAATTTATTACTGAATTATTTTTGTAGTTTTTAGTAAAACAGTTGTTTTACTTTTTTTTTTAATTTATCATTATTTCTTCAACGTTCGATGTGCGAATCAACCCTAATAATACTATAGCACAGCAGTGTCGATAATTTTAACACGATCCTAATCTGATTTATCGTCTGTCGCTTCAAATATCATGGCCTTGATGTGAGTTCCCGCCGAAACGCGTTCTAAATTCAATTAATTGACTAATGTATGTTTGACGGCCAATGGTGGATGGATTACATAAAAAGTGTAAATGAAGTCAATATTGTTTTACCATAACATTATATTTATGACTTTTTTCGGTGTGGTATACAGTATTTCTGCCTAAAAATAGCTATATTAGGTATATATAGTGTTTGCTAACTTAGAAAAAATTCGGCAATTTTACATTTTTTCTGAAATATAAACTTTTTAAAAATATTCAGGGCGATACTTTTTGAGTTCAAATGGGCAGTATTAATTATTAATTCGAACAGCATTTTTAATGCGATTGTTTCTTCTATCATCTATATGTGAAAATACTTTAAGAAGCTCCCTAACAGTTTTTATAAACAACAAACAAATCTATCCTACGGGAACTCTTTAATCTTCCGAGATGAATAGTCTCGATAAAAGTCTCTTCGAGATGAGAAACCTAAAATATTGACCGGAGACATAAGGTACCACCATGCAAAATTTTATTTAAATCGGTGCAACAGTTTCGGAGACTAGCCCGTACAAACAGACAAACAGATAAACAGACAGAGAAACAAAATAATTGAAAGAAATCTAGATTTGTTAAACATCTCTTCTTAAATCCCCCTGGACTCGGTTTTAAAAAAAAATTCTATGTACAGGCATTCGACCTCTATAGTTTTATTATATGTATAGATGTAAGTATATATAATATTGAGTAGTTCATACTTAAAAAAAAATGAAAATGTTATCATGTTTATTACCATTTAAAGTCATAGAGTCATATGGTTCCGTTTGCAAAGGCTCCCTGTATATAATCGGTTCCATGCCGCTGAAGTCCGCTACCGTGCCCGAGTACAACTCAGCGTCTGAAAAGTTGGATAAAAGTTTATGAAAAGTAGAGCAAAAGTATAATATTTCTAGAAGATTTAGCTATTTATGAGACTTAAAACCAATTCTGTTATAGCAATTTTGCTTTGAAAGGTTAGACAACCATTATAGATACGCGCATTCTGTTTGACTAAGACTAGCCCAAGTATCCCGAAGATCCTTGGTTGGATTTCCACAAAGACAAAATGTTAATAACTAAATAGTAAGTATATCTATACTAATATTATAAAGAGGTAAAGTTTGGGAGTATGTGAGTTTTTTGAGGTTGTAGGGGGTAATCTCTGGATCTACTGAACCGATTTAGATGAAATTTGGTAAGAAGATAGTCTGAGGCCCTGGGAAGGACATAGGACACATTTATCCCAGAAATCATCCCTTAAGGGGGTGAAAATGGGGATGAAAGTTTGTATCGGGAAACAAGCTAGGGGCGAACCTGAGCGAAGCGAGAGTGAGTCGATATTAAAAATATGACTCTTAAATGCTTTATTTTATCACTATGCCAGGCGGTAGTCATTTCTATTCAAGTGTTACGACGATATAAAGTCTCTGGTCCGAATCCTTTACCACTTTGCCACTAAACGTACCGTTCAGACATTCAGATGAATAGGCAATTGCAGTTACAAATATAAAATAATTTTCTTTAATAGCTGCTTCTATATGCGGTAACTCCTATTAAGAAGTCAAACACTTGAATTTTATAGTTTAAAATTGATTAAAATGTGTAAGAAGGGCGTGGAGGTAAAATTTTGTGGCCAACTAGTAATATTTCTACACGAATAGTAGAAATTACAGAAAAAAGCGAGAAATCCCATCTTATTAGTCTTTTTCACAAAGAAAAAGAAGTGAACTCAGTTTAGACAGACGAATTTTCTCTATGAACGAAGTAAATTCTGTCTAACGTACTGTTATTATAGGGAATCCAAAAATCAGAATTCCGATAATTCAATAGCCACAGTCATTAACATACCGCATAATCTGCAATTGGGTCTACGTGACCCGAATGAGTGTGTTACGATTAATTATTACCTATTAAGCAGTTAACTTCAGTGTTATGTTGCTAAAAGCACCAGAACATGATTATAATCATTCATACGCTTTTT